TTTTTTTTGAGACAGCGTCTATGTAGCCCGGTCTATCCTGGAACTCTCTATGTATACCAGGCTGGCCTCAGACTCAGGCATCCCCCTGCCTCTGCTCTCAAGAGGCAGAGGCAGGGGGATTTCTGTGAGTTTGGTCTACATAACAAATTGCAGGGCAGCCAGAGACCCTGTCTCAATAACAAAACAAACAAAGGTGGAGCTGGAGGTGTTAGTACATGACCATAATCTGAGCACTTAGGAGGCAGAGAGTAAGGATGGAGGCCAGCCTTGGCTACGTGAAACCTTGTCTTTAAAGAACAAAACTCAACTAAATCAAGGCTGTAGAATGCTTGCCTGGCCTGTGCCAGGCCCTGAGTTTGAGTTCTACCATACATAAATAAGGTAAATGGCTATGCTATCTACATTTTGTCACCGTCTTTAAAACAGTCGTATGTCTTATTAAGAAGTGGCAAGTAATAAACAAATAGAGTAAATCTATATGTTAAACTTGAAAAAAAAAAAAAAAGAAGAAGAAGAAGTGGCAAGTGCTACGGAGAGAAAAAAGCAGTCTGGAGATAAGCAGATATGAGACTGAAGAGCAGGCCCTAACTGGCTGAGAGGACATTAACTGAGAAGGTGTGGATGGGGTCAGAGAGTCGGCACTGCAGATTTCTGAGGCAAGGATGGGAGTGGTCAGCGTCCTCGGGCAGGAGTATGGAACAGCAGGGCCTGTGGGCCGAGCGCAGTGAGCAAGGTGGATGGAATTAGGAGATAGCAGGCAGAGAAAATGGGACGCCTCACGGGCAAGTGGGAGGACTTCAGCTTTGTGAGTTGGAGTAGGCTTGAGTTTTAAGTAAATTGACAGAAAAATGTTGAACAGTACTTGGGACATTAAGTGTTTGCCGCAATCACATCAGGAGGGCTCAACAGGAGAAGTGGCCTTCAGGAAACACTACAGGCCAGGCTCACAAGTGGACAATGCCTGGTAATTGACTAACCTCGGGTCTGGCCTGCCGTATCTCAATCCTTCTAGCAGGGTCTCACAGGTGGCCTTAGGCATTTCTGGGAAAGAGACTGTCTGCATCGTTGCAGTTTTTAGGAGAGGGAGTAGGGCTTACACTAACCAACCCTGACCCAGCCTCTTTCTGGTCTCCAGGCCCGAAGAGGTGCAACCTGGGATGTCATGCCTGCAATGGCCCCTGGGCCTATGAGTCATCTGACGGACACCCAAGCACTTGCCACCCAGAGAGCAACCTAAGGGGTCTCCAGAAACTTTCCCGGAGTAGCTGTCGCACTGACCCAGCAAGAGTCTTCAGATCTCCCTCCCACGGGAGGCTTTGCTGGCTCTCCTCCTCCTCCCACCCCCCCACGTTGTCTCCTCAGAGAACAGGGCTCCTCCTCAGCCTTCCTCAAACACTGCATCCTCTGAGCCAGGCCGCTGAACGCTCAACAGCGAACAGGAACCCGATGTGACTGGGAGTAACCCTGTGCTCCTGCGCATCAGGCAGCGGCTTCCGATTGGCTGGGCCTCATGAGGCGATGTGGGAGCGGGGCCCCGCCCTCCACCAGCTGCCAAGGGGCCGGCACAGGGCCAAGTCTCACAGGCTGGTGCTCAGGACTCCCTGAGCAGCTTGCCCAGGTAAAGGAGGCTCTCCTGCCCTCCCCTCCAACCCCTTGGCCGTGAAGCCTGGATCAAAGGCTTCCAAGCTGGGCTTTTGCCAGGGGCTGGCAGGATTGGGGTGGGTGGGGGGCCTCGTGGGAAAGGAAACTGTGGAGGTGCAGAGGCTGCTGGAAGAGCTTTGAAGGCCGGAGACCAGGTATGGGCGCCCCTGGGGCAGGAAGGCGCCCACTTAAGCTTGGATGGGCTGGAGATGAAAGGGGTACACCCCCTCCACCCCCTGAAGCAGGATGTCCTGGAGGGAACCAGAGCCCCGGCTTGGCCTGTCCTGTGTGTCCCCATCACTGTCTGATCTATGGCAACTGCCTTCCCCTAACCTTGCCCCACAGGCTGACGCTGAATAACACGGTGGAAAAAAAAAATAGTTCCTTCGCTCAAGGGATTGGAATGGGTCTGCAAATTCCATTCTCAGTGTTGCCCCTATCCATCCATGCCTTCCCATTAACTACCTTCAAGGAATGTCAAATTGCGTATCAACGCCCACTAGGCACTAGGCTGAGTGCTTTACAAATTAAGGCCCTCACCGTACCGCCATTTTACCTAAGGTTCGGAGATGTTCAGGAAGTTGCTCAAGGCTGCACCACTGCCATTCAAACCCGGGCAACCTCTCCACTGTTCTCAAGACCTACCTCTGCCACCATAGAAGTGATGAGTGGGAAAGGTGAGGATTCCAGCTTCCTCAAGGTGAGTGAGTGGACCTCGGGGAGCCCTGAGGCCTGAGCTGAGGGAGGGCAACTAACTCAGCACCTTGGCCAGCCCAGAAACAAACTGGCTGGGTGTCCCAATGCCCACGTCTGGGTCAGCTGAGGCCTCAGCTTGGGGTTTCAACACCGTTGAGCTTTTGGGTCGTTCGTTGCCCTGAGCCTCCAACTTGTGACAAGAGATGGAAGAACTGGAGGAAGATAACACCAGAAGCCTGGCCTTCTGCACCTCAAAGGAGCATCTCTACTTACCAGGGCATGAGGCGGCCCAGACGGGTCCAGGAGGACTTGCTGATGCAGAAGCCCACCAGTGGGTCAGTGAAGGCATCCCAGGCTCGGCCCACGAAAAGGATAATGGAAGCAGGGAGTGGGTCCACCTGCCATGGAGAAAAAGCAGAAGACATTGTTCATTCATTTGCCTCAGCAGGGCTTCCCTCACTGCAGTAGCCAAATCCAGCGGTTTAGCTCAGTAGTACTACGCTTGCCCAGGATGGATGAGGTGTTGTGATAAACAGTAATGACAAGAGCAGCTGGGCATGGTGGCCTATGCCTTTAACTCCAGCACTCTGGGAGGCAGAGGCAGAGGCAGGAAGATCTCTGTGAGTTCAAGGCCAGTATGTAGTGAGTTTCAGGACAGTCAATACTGCATAGAGAGACCCAGTCTCAAAAGAAAAAAATAATAATGATGATGATGACAAAAGCATTTCTTTGATAACTGCATTATTGGAGTAGGCCTGTGTTCAAAGCTTTTCTGGATCTTTCCTTCCCTCTGCTGCCCTTAAAAACATCTCATCATACAGAATGGATGTAGAATCATTTTCTTCCTTTCCTCTCCCAATTCTGAGCCCCTGACCACCTGATTACAGAGCTAGTGTTTGTTCCCTGGGCAACCACAGAGAGCCTCAGTTTCCCCATATGTCTGAGAGTTACGGGTTATAGTGTGTTTTATGAGGTCAAGCTTTATCCTTGATATGGAAAAAGGAAGCGATAGATGCTTTCCCTCCTCATCTTCTTTTTTTTTAATCGTAGAATTCATTTTATTATTTTAAATTATGTGATGATGTGTTGGGATTTGTTCAAATGAGTACAGGAGCCTTGGGAGCCAGAGGCTTTCCTAGAGCTAGGATCCCCTAGAGTCGTAGGCAGTCGCGGTTGTGAGTGGCCTGGCCTGGGTACTCATGACTCAGATCCTCTAAGAAAGCAGTAAGCTCTGAAACCTACTTAAACAGTGACTCCCCCACCCTGTTACTGGGTGTGTGTGTGTGTGTGTGTGTGTGTGTGTGTGTGTGTGTGTGTGTAGAGAGAGAGAGAGAGAGGATCTCATTTGTAGTTCTATGCCTGTCCTTTCTACAGATGTGTGCCGCTGTGTCTGCCCTATAGATGATTCTTAGAGAGTGGCCCATCACAATTTACTCAAACCATCTCTCACTTTCCAAACGCTTTAGGTTTTAAATACAGATTTTTCTGGCAACCTCATCCCATAAAAACCTTGATTTTTTTTTTTTTTAACTTTGTGTTTGAGACAGGGTCTCAGGCTGGTTTTTGAAATCTCAACCCTCCTGTCTCAGCCTCCTAAGTGCTGAGGTAACAAGCATGTGCCACCATGTCCGGTTGTCAGAACCCTGCTCTGGAAAGCTGGCAACCTTCCCGCTCTGTACCCCTCTACCCTACCCTCACCCCACTTACTCTAACCCCATTTTATGCTCAGCTGCAGGTTCCTCTCATTTATAACCCCCTTGGGAGCCAGCCATGGGAACTGTTTGAGACCCAGCTACTGAATGAAGCTTCTGTCCTTTCTGGGGCTCAGTGTTCCACACCTGCAAGTAGAAACCAATACGCCTCACTTGCCCACAGATGCCACACAGAAAAGAGGCAGTGAGGGCACCCCGGAGCCATGGTTACTCAGTCTCCCACTCTCTCATCCAGACAGGGCGAATTCTTTGGATGCCAGGCTGCTGGCCAGGGCTTCTCAAAGTACACACATTAGCCCGGCTTCACCGGCTACCCCCCCCCCATCAGAGACCCCCAAGTACCGGGGCACTCTGACATATGCCACCACCCTCAGGTTCCTCCTACCCAACGGCAAGCTGCCTCTCCCCAGATGAAGGTAAGAGACGGTCCTTCCATCAGCCTGGCAACATCCACTGAGCCCTTAGCCAAGCCAGCTGACCGTCTTCCAGCCAGGGACATGGTGTGCCAGTCCCTTCTAAGAACGGCGTCACCAGCGGGTCCCATTCTCCCTCACAGCCATTGCCTATTCCTCCAGGCTCTCTCTTGCCCCTCCCCGGCAAGGAAGAGTTAGTTGCCAGCTGTGGTTCCTGAGGGCAGATACGCTTCCCTCCAGAACACTTCCTAAAGCCTTAGTTCTCATCCACTGCGACCCTGAGTGGCAGCCAGGGAATGTATTCTGGTCCTGTCTTTACCACTGGGGAAAACGGAGCCCAAGAGAGGCCCTACCACTTTTCGCCTCTGGCTACTGGAAGAGCCTGTGGAGCTCAGGCCACCCACCTTAGCCACATCCAACAGGTAGATCTGCAGGAAGAACCCCAGGGCACAGCCAGTCAGCTGGTAGGGGGCCCCTCCAACCGCGTAACAAAGCTTGTTGCAGATGGACAATTGCTGCTTCTTCTTTGGCTCCTTCTGGGAAGAGAAGGAAAGAATGAAAATAGGCCCTGGATTCTGGCCTCCAACCTAGAAGGTGCCAGAGGCATGGCCATTTATTTCTCCAGCTAACTCAGCCAAGAGGGACAGCTCCACCTTGCCCAGTTCCCACCTAGGGAAATCCCACTTCCCCTACCCCAGAGGAAGTAGCCCTTAAACTTAGACTTATCCCTCCCACCCCTAAATTCTGAGGAAACCTATACCCTCTATCTTTAAAGATCTTCCAGGCCAGGTATAGTGGCACATGACTTCAGTCCCAGCACTTGGGAGACAGAGCCAGGCAGATCTCTTAGCCTGAAGCCAGCCTGTTCTACAGAGCTAGTTCCAGGACAACCAGGGCTACACAGAAAAACCCTGTGTCAAAAAAAAAAAAAAAAAAATCTTCTCCAAGGCCCTCAGCAGTTTGCTCCTTTTCAAGTTGCCCAGAAAGAGCATGTTGTAGCAGGGGACCTGTCCCCACCCGGCACTAGCTGTCACAACCTGAAAATCCTCTTGCTGCCATCAGTTGCCTGAGCCCAACCCAGGCTCCCTCCCTGACGCCCCACAGCAGCCAGGATCCACCTGCCTACTGGGTGAGGGCTCCAGAGCTGCGGGGGGCGGGGGGGGGGGGGGGGCAGCCTAGCCCGCTGCAGCCACACACAGCTGTTCCTTCCATCTGTCCCAAAGTTCCCCGGACCCTGTAGGGAGTCTTCAGCTCCAGGCAAACCCTTGAGCAGTCCTACCCTCCGGCCTCCTGACTCACACCCCTTTCAGCTCCCAGGGGAGCTTGGAGAGGGGTGAAAAGGGCTCCAGGTGCAGGGCTTAGCCTTCTCCGGGTGGAGCACGAGGGGAGGTTGATGTTGCCCAGGGAAAGTAGAGATTACTCATACATAGCAACAGCATAATTGCTCACTCGCTCCTTCCAAGATCAGTTAATAAAATTAAAAAGTTAAGCACCACCCAAATAGATAGACTGTGAGAGATCTCTTTCCTGGGGCCGCGTGGTTTCATGGGACGGTTGAATAGACCCACAGAGCTAGGGTCGATCCGAAAGAGAGAGTAGAGAGGCGCGGAGCTTGAGCATGTGAACTCTCAGTCACACCGACGCTTTCGGCGTGCGGCTCCTTTAAGAGCAGAGAGCCCTTGTTCTTATGAATGAACTTGAGTGGCCCTCCTCAAGAGTTAAAGCGTTGAGAGTGGGGGTGGTACTGAGAGATGGAGAGCCAAGGGGGCTCTCCGATTTCTGGGGTCCCGCTAGCCCTAGAGGGAGAGAAACTAGCGTGGCTCGGCACAGGAGAACCCAGAGAGCGGGGAAATGCCCCACGCGGTGTGGAGTTGCCGGCGCCGCTCTGGGCACGAACGCGGCGCAGGGGTGTGCAAAGGGGCTTCAGACTTTCTCCATCACCCCCCGGTTCCGGAGCCCCTTTTTCATTTCCCCAAGCCTCACTGGTAGCCTGTTCCCCTCCGGGTCTCCCGAGACCAGACCTAAGCCCCGGTGCCCCCGTGCCCACCTTTCGGCCTGCCCGCCCCCGCTTGCCCTCCTCTCGGGACCTCACCTTCACCTGGGCCGGCCGTTCGCTGGCTTGGAGGATGCCGGTGGGGAGCAGCCCCGCCGCGGATCCGCTCTCGGCGCCCTCTCCTTTGGCCATGACCCGCGGGCCACGCCGTCCGGGACCGGGACGCCGGGATGCTCCTGTGTTCTGCCGGCCGGCACTCGCCTGGGGCTCCCGTCCTGGGCGCTGGGCGCAGCCACTGCTACGTTAGCCGGCACTTAGCAAACCAGGAACGCCGGCGAAGAAAACTCCCTTGCACGCCCCCTCCGCGCCTCTTAAAGGTTCGGTCCTGAGCCTCCAGCCAATCCCTGCACGCGCCTGCTCAACTCGCCTGGCGGAGCCTCGCCGCTTGGCCACGTTCAACAAGCCGGCATCCCTCAACGCGTGCTCCTGAGCCCCTGAGCAAGGCTGAGGAACCCACCTGACTCGCCCTCCGAAACCGAAGCTCAAGGCTGAACCTGACCTGCCCAAGGTCCCCCAAAGTGAGTTCTCCCCGAGCTGAGCCTGTAGCCCAGGACTTCTGAACCCCGGATCTGCCCTTTTTAAAATCTGAGGTCAGGTGGCTTTTCCCCCTCCCCCAAACCTGAGGCCGTAGGCGGCCACTTTCACTATTAATGTCCGTCTCCCGAGTCTCGAGATCGACCATTCCTTCTCCTTGCCTCTTATATTTAGGGAGCCCTTTTCAGTAAGGACAGAAAGTTTAGCCAGTCCAGTGGCTGCCCCTTCCAGCAGGGTTGCTCTCAAGTTATACAAAGGAGCCACGGCCACGGCAGCCTTTTATGGATAACTTCTAACAGGCTTAAAGTGATCTCACTGGGTGCTCACGAATTTTACAGCCGAGGAAAGGGGGACGCGGAGAAGAGCAGCTGTTACCACAGAGACAGGCCAGAACGGCTTTATCCACTTCCTAAGTCTTTGCCCATGACTCTCCTGCTCTGGCCTCAGCATAAATTACAGGAGGCAGAACCGGGTATATGCTCCCAGACAGGAAGCTCTGGGAGATACTAGACACCAACAGCCTTCAGTGTCCAAAAAAAGAAAAAAAAAAAAAAAAAAAAAAAAGTCAAGGGAATCTTTGAGAAAGAGAATAGGAATGTGGTCCTTGAAAGAAGGGCGGACCTGCCTCTAAACAGAGGCCAGGCATAGAAGCCAGCAAAGAACAGCCTTTTCTTCCACCTCTGCTAACGTCAGCCCAGGCTTCCCAGACCCCCAGGAGCCTGGGTGAAGCCCAGCTCCTCCTATCAGCGAGGTGGCTGTGGAGAATCTCAGAGGCTACTCACACAGGACCCTTGTTTTTCCGTGTCAGGATCCTTTTTTTTTTTTTTTTTTTTTTTTTTCTTTTAATTCAAATTGCGGGGAAGAGATGTTGAGCTGTGGCTCCCCCATGAGGACCACAGCACGCACCCTGCTGTGCCCTGACAGAGTCCATCTGGGCAGATCACTGTACAGAAACAAGCCAGGCCAGACAGTGAAGACGGTAGGAAGGCATACACCGGGCTCCGTGTTTCCTCGTGACACCGCCCTGTCTCTCTTCCCTGCTCTAAGCTTGATTTGCTTGAGGAGTCCTCTGTGTTCCCTTCCAGCCCTAAATTCTTCGCTCCCTTGAACTACACCATTCCATGAGTGATCTGAATAACCAAGCCAGATCGTGCCCTCCTTGAAAATAAAAACTATATCTCTTTCACTTCCACATCCCACTAAACTACAGTGAGCGAACGTTGGAACACCAGGGGAGACGGCCCATTCAGAAAAGCCTCCTCCGAGTATCAGCTATACAGTTGATGCTGGACAATTTTGTTAACCTCCTTGTGTACAAAACAGGGACCTACCTACTAGGGTTGTTTGGGGGATAAGACAAGCATTTAGCACAAGAGCCCAGAAGCTGAAGCTGGGCTGGTCCCCCTCCTGGCCTGATTCCAGTCTGTCAGTGTAGCAATGCAAGATTCCAGATATGGCCTGATCAAGCCAGCACAATAGGCCTATTATTTCCCCCAGTCTGGACAGGACACATTGTTAATGCAGCCTAAGACTGCTGGGCTTCAGAGCCTTTCTCTCCCGTGATCCGTCCCCACCAGGTTGTGGTTAACTAACTCATTCAGATCCCTTGCACCAGAGCTTGGGGTCAAGTCAGGTTTCCTCACCACCCTCTAGTTTGTGTGATGTTGTCAAGTTCCCAGCAGAATAATGTCATGTTGATTACTTCAGCCTGTAGAAATTGTTTTGAGTTCCGGCTCTGTTGTACACGATCTTCTTCCCCTCTAAATGTAGGTCCAGCTTGCCATCCCGACTTCAGTTCTGTCTGTTTCAGTCAGGACTAGAGACTCACGTTCATCATGAGCTGAATCTGAGCGCCATAAGCACAATAGTTCCCAATTACCAAATACCCACCATCTACATGGCATGTACTGTGCTAAGTGCTTTTGCTTTGAATATACCAAATAATTCATTTGTTCTAACACTAACTAGGGAGGTGTTTTGTTTTGTTTTGTTTACATCCATTTTATAGATAAACCCAAGATTAAAAGAAGAGAAGCAAGGATTTGATTTTATAAACTTGATGACAGCCCAGTGCAGTGGCTCATGTACATGATCCCATCACTCTGGGAGGCAGAGGCAGGGAGATGTCTCTGAGTTCGAGGCCAACCTGGTCTACAAAGTGAGACCAGGACATCAAGGCTACACAGAGAAACCCTGTCTCAAAACAAAACAAAAACCTTGATGACAAACTTGGTTATTATCCTTCAGGTACCTACAGTCCTGGCCATGTGACTCTGTTAGTCCCTTTGGACATTCTCTTTCTAGCCCTTCATATCCATACCATCAAGCCCAGAGCCCAGGTAACTTTGCCGAAGCTCTGTTTGTCACAGAGGCCTGGAGCAGAAACCTGGGCCCCTTCTTCACCACCACCATCTTTTCCTGAGAGTAAGAACTTCTCCCTCGTGGGCAGGCAAATGGTAGGACTGTCCTTCTGGCCACCAGTACCCTTTGTGGGTCTAGCTCAGGCTTCAAAGGACAAATGAGCGTAATTTCTCTGTGTTGCTCCACATCTCTCAACATGTATGCAGGGCTGCTGCTGGGTACTCCCCAGAGAACTTCTGAGTCCCCTGATCTTTCCAGAAGTAGAGAAGGTGAGTATATACAAAGGTCCCAGAGGGGATAGTAATACTGTTCAGTTGGTAGAGGGCTGCTCTAGCACGTGTAAAGCCCCAAGTTTGATACCCAGTAACTGGCCCAGTGACGCAGACCTGTTATCCCAGCACTTAGGAGACTGAGGCAGGGGGATTGTTCAAGACTAGTTAGCCTGGCAGGGTGTGGTGGCGCACTCCTTTAATTGCAGCACTTGAGAGGCAGAGGCAGGTAGATCTCTCTGAGTTAGAGGCCAGCCTAATCTACAAAGCAAGTTCCAGGGCAAGCCAGGGTTGTTACACAGAGAAATCCTTTCTCAGACAAACAAATAAAAGACTTGCTAACCTAGACTACATGGTGAGACCCTGACTCAAAAAAATAGATAAATGAATAAATTCGAATCTGGCGAGATGACTTAGTAGGCAAAGGACTTGAATGTGTATGCCCACCATCCCTGTAAAACCCTGGCAAGGTGGTACATGTCTGTAACCTCTGCACGGGAGGATGGAGAGCCAGAGGCAGGCAGACCCGGGGATTTGCTGGCCAGCCAATCTAGTTGAAACAGTAATTGCCAAACTCAGAGGGTCTATCTCAATAATAATAATAATAATAATAACAACAACAACAACAAGGTAGAGAGCCATAGAGAAAGACAGCAAATGTTGACTCTGGCTCCCCAATACATAAGTGAATGTACACTCCCCTTCCACATGGATGCACAAGTACACACCACACACACACACACACACACAAGCACACACCTTATCTCATTGAGTAGCCAGGAATATATGAAGATTAAAGAGAATGCCTAGAATAGTGAGCTTGACACACTGTAAGCCAGTAGTTCTCAACCTGTGGGTTGTGACCCCTCCGGGGGGGGGGGCATCACAGATCAGATATCCTGCATATCAGATATTTACATTATGATTCAAAACAGCAAGGTTACAGTTATGAAGTATCAATAAAATAATTTTATGGTTGGAGGTCACCACAACATGAGGAATGGTATTAAAGGGTCACAGCATTAGAAAGGTTGAGAACCACTTCTGTAACCCTTACAGATTGCTTCATTGCTGCTGAAGTTGTTATCATTATTTCTATACTGGGCACAACCTCACCAATTAAGGCTCTTTTTGCCAGAGGAGATAAATTTTGCTTATAACTAGCTGCCCATCTCTAATCCAAGCACTGGGGAAGCAGAGGCAGGCAGATCTCTGGGAGTTTGAGGCCCGCCTGGTTTACATAGAGTTCCAGGACAGCCGGGTCTATAGAGAGACCTTGTTTCAACAACAACAGGAAAAAAACATTTTTTTGTTGTGGTAAATGTTTGTGTGGTAGATTACATCTGATGACTCAAGACAGTATTTCTGGTGAAGTGGGATGGTCCTGGGTCAGATTATCAGAAGGAACTATTTGCATATTATTGTTGAGGGAAAGCATTGCTGAATACTATCGCTGCCAGGTGGAGTAGCTGCAGTCTGCCACTTTGAGGTAAGATTAATCTATAGTCCCAACCTGCCAGGCCTATAACCTTGACTTCTGGAGAAAAGGGTCAGGCCCATACTTGGCTCAACAACTCACTGGCAAATTTACATCCTGCGGGGGGATACCATAGAGGAGCTGCCAGGTTGAAGAGGTAGGGGCTGGGCAGGTCCTGGAGCAAGGGCTTCCTGGAGAAGCTACTGAGATAGGGATGCCTCCACTTGTTTCTGATCTTGTCCCTCTGTTTGCCCTGTGAAGAGCATGTGGACCAGAAACTTAGGAGGGACCTTTGAGGGGCTCCTTCGAGAGGAAATCCCTGAGAGCCCTTGAAGTCACTTGAAGCTGCTAGTTCCCGTAATATTGGTTGGGCAATTGTGGATCAGAAGAGGTTTCAAGACTGATGCATCTGATCTCAGGAGGCCATGGGCCACTCCACAAGAAAGCCTCCAGAGCTGGCAGAAGGGTGAGTCCAAGCCCCAGTTCTAAAGGAAATGAGGAACTTGAAAAGTATACAGGGATTTGCTGGGACAACCGGTGCCCCTGCCTCCAATTAGTGCCTTAGGGGTTTTCTCATTCTAGACTCTCACAAGGTCGAGGTGTCCACTCCTAGACAAAAGAGACAGGCCTTACCCCCACTGCTGAGGAGATGAAGGAATGGCAGAAGCTGGAAGACGTCAGCCTAACCTCACAAGGCCACGCTAAGACCATGGCACAGGGCATGGGAAGCAGCAGTGGTTTGGGCCAAGCTACCAGGTGTTCTCAGGGCTCACGAGATCGAGTGAAGAGCTTCTTGAGCAAGAGGTGGGTAGTGTTAGAAGAGACAGGTAGATGTGCATGAGCTACTAGCTTTCCCTTCCTGGCTAACCAGAACCATGCCCTCCTCATGCTCACACCACCAGGGTTTCCTCAAGGAGGCCCTGCCCTTCTCCGATGGCCTTGACCCGTTCATAAATGGGAAAAACTAGACCCGGGTTAATTGACTAAGAACAGAGCTTGCCTTGTCCCTGGAGTCCTGCCTCCCCCCCTCTTTGAGATTCCTTTTTATCCATCTGAACAGATAGCAGATTGGGCAACCCAGCCCTGTATGATAGCTGCTTCTCACCTCCACGGTGGCATACTGGGACCTTATGGTAATGTTTGATGTTATTCTTATTGATTAAAGGCAAGAGATAACAGTGTAGCTAGGACCTAGCTAGCTTCGTCAGAGTTCTGTTTCTGGTTACATATGGGATTTGGGGCAGGTCACAACTTCTCTGAGCACTGTTTATCTGATCTGTGCTTATGCCTCATGATGCTCTCCTGAGGATTTAGTGAGGCAATGTACGTGTGCAAAACAAACTTTACAAGCTGCAGCTCATCCTGCACCAATACACAGTCTTTTGAAGAGATGATATATGTGCCTTTCATTGACACTGGGAGAGTGAGTGGTGGCGGTACTCACATGCTTTCAATCCCAGCACTCTGGGAGGCAGAGGCGGGCGAATCTCTGTGAGTTCAAGGCCAGCCTGTTCTACAAAAGAAGTCCAGGATAGCCAAGGCTACACAGAGAAACCCTGTCTCAAAAAAAAAAAAAAAAAAAAAAAAAAAGAGAAAAGAAAAATTGAATCAGAGGGACTGACGTGTTGCTGCGGTTATCTGGGAAGATGGGATGAGAGTCTGTGGATGCTGGGCAACAATGTCCTCTTTACTGAGCACAGAACTGTGGCTCAGCAGTCCCCATCACCCAGCTCAGGTCCCTAACTCTGGACAGGAAGCCTCCCTTTGTAACTCCAAGAGATGAGAGGGACCAATCGCCTCATGCCTCTGCTCAGAGTTCTTCCCAGGCCTCCCCTCTGCCTGTAGCACTAGCGTGCCAAGCTGCTCCTTCCTTGGAAGCTTCACATCACCAGTTTCCGCACCAGCAGGATCCCAGGCAGCATTAGCCACTCACCGCTTCTGCACACTTTGGTCTCTTCGACCTCTGTGTTGCAGGTCTTCCCTTTGTCTCACAAACCCTTCCTGGTCCCATCCTACAGTGCTTACCTCAATCACTACCCACTCTGCAATTACCTCCTCTGCAAAGCCCTTTCAGACCTTTATCCCTCAAACAGAATCTCGTGTTCTCGATTCTGGACACTCAGACAGGGTTCTATAGGTTCTACGGTTGTCTCACACGGACATATTCTGCCTGTATTTCCCTCCACAGGTGGACATGATCTCTTCAAAGGATAAGACTTTGTTCATCTCTGTATTGGTCCAAAGAAGGCTTAGCGACTACACTCACAAGGCCACTTTGATTCCTTTAAGTGTCCTGTTGTGCCCTCCAGTCCTTTCAGCCCTCCCACCCACAGCACGTGAGGCCACCACAAATTAGGTTTTACATTTCAAAACATGGTAAGAAATTTATTCCCCCAGTGGTGTTTATTGATTTGTTTGTTTCTTTTCTTTTTTTGAGAAAGGGTTTCACTGTGTAGCCGTGGCTGTCCTAAAACTCATTCTGTAGGCCAGGCTAGCCTGAACTCAGATATCTGCCTACCTCTGCCTCCCGGAGTGCCAGGATTAAAGGGGTGCATCACTATGCCCATATAAATTCTTCTTGTTTGTTTGCTTGTTTTTTCAAGACAGGGTTTCTCTGTGTAGCCTTGGCTGTCCTGGACTCACTTTGTAGACCAGGTTGGACTCAAATTCACAGAGATCCACCTGCCTTTGCCTCTGCCTCCCAGAGTGCTGGGATTGCAGGTGTGTGCCGGACTGTAACTTTTTTTTTTTTTTTTTGCAAATATTAATAATAATCAGGATTTAAAAAAAGAAATTCTGAGTCAGGTGGTGGTGGCACACTCCTTTAATCCCAGCACTTGAGAGTCAGAGGCAGGTAGATATCTGTGAGTTCAAGGTCAGCCTAGTCTATGGAGCCAGTTCCAGGACAGCCAAAACCAGAAAGAAACCCAGTCTTTAAGAACACACACAGAAAAGACTAAAACAAACAAATCTGAGCTGTGCAAGGATAGTGCCTGCCTTTAATCCCAGCAGAGCCAGACACCTCTCTAAGTTCTAGGCCAGACCAGTCTACAGACTGAGTTCCAGGACAGCCAGGGCTACAAAGAGAAACCATGACTTAGAGGAAGAAAAAAAAAAATCTGATCCAGGCTATGTGGGAAGCAGAGGCAGGAGAATCTCCGTGATTCAGCCTGTGTGATCCTGCCTGGTTTATCTAGTGGATTCCAGACAGTGAGGGCAACATCGTGAAACCCTGCCACAAAACTACAACAGAACAACCAAACAAACAAAAACCTGGACTGGGGATGTAGCTCCGTTCCTAAAGAGCTCACAGCACAAGCAAAGAATCCGAGTTCAGATCTCGAGCAATCATGGAAAAAGCCGGGCGTGCTCCTTCATTGCCAGCGCCGAGAGACATGGAAAGGAGCCGAGCAGCCTAGCCCAGCTGGTAAGCTACAAATTCAGTGAGAATCCTGTCTCCAAACAAGAGTGGAGGATCAGTGAGATGGTTCGGGGGGGGGGGGGGAAGGCACTTGCGGACAAGACTGATGGCTTAAGTTCAATCCCTTGGATCCACGTAGTGGAAGGAAAGAACTGACTCCTGCCAGCTGTGCATTGACCTGCGCACGCGCGCACACACACACACACACACACACACACATACACACACACACAGAGAGGGAGAGAGAGACACACACACACAGAGATGAGAGAGAGAAATAAATGTAAAAAATAAAAACAAGGTAGAAAATGATGGAAAAAGACACTTAATGTTGACCTCTGGTCTCCACATGTATGTGCACGCATGTGATACACATGATGGTACATGCCACTAATCCCAACATTTGGGAGCTAGAACAGAAGGTCAAGGGCATCCTCAGATACACGTCAAGTTTGAGGCTAGTCTGGGGTACATGAGACCCAATCCAAAAAAAAAGAGAGAGGGAGAGAGAGAAATCTCTCCTATCCCCATTTAAAGCAGCATATCATAAACATTCAATAGATGTTGAGTAAGGAAGATGTGGAGTGCAACATGGCAGCGCACACCTGTATTTTCCGCCCTGGAGAGTCAGAGGCAGGAGGACCAGGGTTGGCTAAACAACTTCAAAACCAGACAGAGGCAGGTGAGACTGTTCTGAAAACCAACCCTCAGACCCTCCCCAAGAGAACAACTGAAGGAGTCTTCCGTAATAGTCTTGGGTTTACAATCTCAGTGTGCACCTCCTGACTACCCCCGAGTGGTGAGACCAGGGAAGAGAAGGGACTTGCCCAAAGCAGAACAGCTAGCCAGCAGCAGCAGCAGCAGCAGCAGCAGCAGCAGCTTCTGGTCCCGTTGGGATTCTGAGGAGCAGCCCTTGCAGAGAAAGCTTTCTTCGGTTTTGTCTCTGATTCCTCGCAATAGATCGTCCAGACCAGGGTAAGGGGGGTCCGTAGAGCAGTACCTGCTCTTATGCACCTTCCTGGGTACTGTTGCCAGGAGTTGGGTTGGAGTCTGAAATCCTCTGTCCTGGGCTTCTTCTATGCTTGGACTCCTTTGGGGGCCAGTGTTATAAAGAGTGTCAGGGAGCTGATTACCTCTGGAATAGGGGTAAATTTCTAGCCTCAGATTCCTTTAAAGTTTGTTTTTGTTTTGTTGTTTGTTTCTTTGAGACAGGGTTTCTCTGTATAACAGCCTTGGCTGTCCTGGAACTTGCTTTGTAGACCAGGCTGGCCTCAAACTCACAGAGATCTGCCTGTCTCTGCCTCCCCAGTATGAATACTAGGATTAAAGAGTTGTGCCACCAGGCCCAACTTAAAGTTGGACTCTTAAATCTGGAGTTAAGGTGGTGGTGAGGGCATGCTGAGACAGGCAGATCACTGAGTTTGAGGCCAAATTGGTCTACAAATTGAGTTCCAAGATAGTCAGGGCTGTTACACAGAGAAACTGTGTTCACAAGTGTGGAGGGGTGGAGATGGGGTGGGAGATGAGTCCTGGCCTGGGTTCTAGGTTTTTGGGTGTGTTCTGAGCTACACTCAACTGTTCCACTCTGGTTTAGCCTTGGTCTGAATTCTGGCCCCAGAGCCTCAGGCCTTTCAAGCACTAGGCTTTTGGTATGTGAGCTAGGCTAAGGTCTTGGGCTTGGTCTAAGTTCTGAGCCTTGGTCTTTGGCTTGGACTGGACTTCCTGCCTGGTCCAGGTCATTCTCTGAGTTCTGTAAGCTGGGCTCTGGGCTTGAGACTTTGGATTGGGGCTGGACTGGCCTGGGATTCTGGGAGCTGGGTTATATATGAACACTGGGGTGGCTGTGAGCTCTGGCTTTGCGTCTCAGCTCTAGATAGACATAGGGGCTGGGCAGGGTCCCCGACTGAAGTGCAGCCTAGGTCGGTCACAGTGGAGGAAGTGAGGTCTTTCATCCCGCTCTTCTTCTTGGAAGCTCAGCTTTGCTCCTCCTAGGAGACAAAGGTACCAGTAGGCTCTGTGAGCTGCCAGAAGGAAGGTGAAGGGCAGGACAAGAGGCACGAGGCCATCCTGCTTGTCATCAAGACCCTTCCACTAAGCGGAGAATAGTGAGGAAGCATTGGTCTAGCCCACAACCTGGCTTCCCGAGGGTTAGCATGGAGGAGAGGCAGTGCACAGAGCTTGAATCTTGAGTCTGAGGGGTACACCCTTCTCAGCTTCCTTCCCAGAGACTTGGCCCTGTCCTACCATCCAGTCACAAGTTGGAGGTAAAACTTTTCCTCATCACAAGAGGCCATTCCCAAAGCATTCTATTCTCATGCCTGGATCACTTCTTCCCTGTAACACACTACTGTGTGTGTGTGTGTGTGTGTGTGTGTGTGTGTGTGTGAGAGAGAGAGAGAGAGAGAGAGAGAGAGAGAGAGAGTGTATGTGTGGTGTGCATGCTCACATGCACACACGCACACACTTGGAGGGGAGAGGACAGCCTTAAGTTGTGAGGCAGGCTAGCTGGTGTGAGAGCTATGGGCAGTTTCTTGTCTCTGCCTGCCATATCACCATACAAGCACTGGGATGAGAGCGGCGTGCTGCAGTGCCTAGCTTTAGGTAGGTTCTGGGTTTCGATGTCAAGTCCCATGCGTACACAGCCAGTGCTTTACCACCCAGCCCCACTCCATGTCTGTTCCCTTAGCTGTACGCTTTCTCCTTTCAGGCGCTTTGAAGCCTCCTACCCAGTAAGCATCCCCTGCTCATCCTGTGGACTCTCTTCCCTCACAGTGACTTCCAAAGAGGATCACAGGGATCACCCTTCTCTGTCCCCTGCAGCACCAGGAATCTGAGGCAGCAAACTTCACTGAAGGGACAGGGATTGCTGCAGAGAAAAGCAGCTATTAAGAAGACATCTCAAACTGTACATGTCAGCCGGGCCTAGTGAGGCACACCTGTAATCTCAGCACTTGAGAGGCAGAGGCAAGCAGAGCTCTGTGAGTATGAGGTTAGCCTGGTCTACAGAGTGAGTTCCAGGACAGCCATCTCTGCAGAGAGGCCCTGTCTTGAAACAAACAAAACAAACAAATGCACAGGTCATTTCTCACTAGGGAAGTTGTAGCAGCATTACCTGGTGAATTTCTTCACAACTGTCTTTTTTGGGGTATATTCGATTACTAACTTGATCCCCCCGCTCCAGATCATTTTTATGCTTTCGCCCCCATCCCCAACACACACTTCAAAAGTGGCTGTTTTGTATGACGGTAGGTATAGTCTAAATCCATACTTCAGAAGAGATACGTTATGAAAGGCCTTCTAGTCTGGTACCAGCCTATGGGGATGCTCTGATTATCTTCACAGCATCCTCCTGCTCCAGCTTTGTGCCACTGCATGCCAGGCAGCAATAGCAAAAGACCTGGCAGAGTACATGAACCCATGATGGTTGCTTTCAAACCTGTAGTGTTCCTGTCAGAGCTTTGAAATGATCGTGTGCACCACAGACCAGGTGAAAATCATGGTTAGGACTGGGATCCTTCCCAGCCCTGAGCACAGTGATTTACAAGTGTGGACCTTTGGTTTTCCAAGCACATCTTTCTTCCTTTGGCCTCTGTTCCAGTCCCCACTGGGTTCCGTAGTCCTGGCAGCCTGTTTAAAAGCCTCAAGCCTGTGAACCTCTCTGCTCTTGTTTTGCTTTTCTTCTTCTTTCTTTCTTTGTTCCTTTTAGTACCGGCGATTGAACCTAGGGCTTCACGCGTGCTAGGGCAGAATCTCTACCCCTGAGTTATATCCCAGAGCCCCCTTTCTTTAAACTACATCCATTTATCTGTTGCCTGGAGGATGCAGATTACATGCAAGTAGAGGTCGGAGGCCAACGTGTGGGGGTTGGCTCTTTTCTCTCATGTGGGTCTCAGGAAGTGAACTCAGGTTGACAGGCTTGGTAGCAAGCATCTTTACCCGCAGAGCCATTTTTAAAGTTCGTGGGGGGGGGGGTGCACGCACATTCATTCGGAGGGACAGACACGTATGTCTTCCATCTTGTCTGCAGAATGTCTTTTGTTGTTCACAGCTGCATAAGCAGGTGTTGTCTTCCTTCCCAGAGACTTGGCCCTGTCCTACCCTCTAGTCACAAGTTGGGGGTAAAGCTTTCACTCATCACAAGAGGCCATTCCCAAAGCATTCTACTCTCATGCCTGGATCACTACTTCTCCCCTGTGACACACTACTGTGTGTGTGTGTGTGTGTGTGTGTGTGTGTGTGTATGTGTGTGTGTGTGTGTGTGTGTGAGTGATTCTCCACCTCTGCTTCCCGTCTTCTACCGCAGCATTGGGCTACTGTGACTAACTTGACATGGATGCCGGTCATTTGAACTCGGTGCCTCACCCTTGCGCAGCAACTATTTATGCACTGAGACATCTTCCCATCCCCCACCCCGCCCTCTCTCTCTCTCTCTCTCTCTTTTTAACTTGTTTTTTTTTTGAGACCATCTTAATAAGTTGCCCAGGCTGTCTTTGAACTTGCTCTTGTAGCCCAGGCAGACCTTGAACTTTCAGTCCTCCTGTTTGTACCTTTACAGCGGCTGGGACTACAGGCTCGGATTTTGTTCTTGTTGTCTCTCGTTGGTTGTTCTATCTTCCCAGCTAGCATAGGGGCTCCCCATGCAGTGGCTAGTCCCGGGCGCCTTCACTTCAGAAGACATTTGCTGAGCCAAGGCTGTGTGTCAGCCAGAGTCCTTAAGTTCAGAGTCTGAGGGAGGTTAAGTTTGTAAATAAATCACTAAAGCAAGAGTAATAAAAATTATGACAGAGGGGAACACGAGCACTATGGGCAAAGTCACTATATTGCGCAGTTCTGGCGGGGGGGGGGGACATCCATCTGACTGCCACCCCCCAACAGCTGTGCCGTGAGTTAGCGCTTGGCACATGGAAACCCAAAGCAGCCATCTGACTCAGCCAGGGAAGTTCAACCGATTGCCTTGAGGAGTCTGAGCACTGGTTGAGGCTTCAAAGGCAAGGTCTCCAGGTAGCCGAGGAGGGAAGTGCTGTCCGAGCAGAGCAAACTGCATCCACAAGGCCACCAGAGAGGACTGAGGGGATGTTTACAGTATCGGGAAGTGTGCGAAATACATTTTGGCTGATGCACTGAACACATGCTGGGGGTGGGGTGCCTAGAGCCCGCTTGCTAAATGAGTTAAGGAATACAAGAACTATAATAATAGACGTCGTCATTACTAACATTTATTAACCACTCTCTCTGTGCCGGGCACTCATTCCGATTCTCAGCAACCCCATCGGGTACAGTCTTTATTATCTTATCTCTACAGATAGAGCAACGGAGATGCGGAGAGGTTAAACAACTTGTTTAAGGTCACAGAGCTACAGGACAACTACAGAGTCAAGCTGCAAACCCGGGCCTCTAGACTCCTCCCTCAACACTAATGCCCTTGACTTTGGACTGTAGTAGTCTCTGCGCAGACCAGAGATACAGCTGCTATCACATTAGGTCTCCTTGAGGTTCCCCAGCAGCAATGCTCCTGCTCCCCGGGAGAACTGGCATTTATCAGGCTCAGCTCCATCGGGAGCTTCAGCAGAGAGGGGTAGTGGGAGCCTGAGCATCTGGGAATTGCCCCTGAGATTCTTGGGAGTTCTTCAGGAGGAATTTGAGAGAGGTCAGATTCCTGCAGAGGAAACAAACAACCAAAAAAAACCCAAAACAAAACAAAGAAAAAACCAAGTATTTGTGAAGTTTATTTTGAGTCCTAGGTATGGTGAGACCTCATTATGCTTGGAGAGAAAGAAGAAAAAAAAAATCTAGTTCTCCTTAGCTCGCTCATGTGCATTCCTTCCCATACCACCTGATTTCCAAGTCATTCAGGATTTGTCAGCCCTCTACCCTCTGTCTTCAAAATTTCTTTCTTTCTTTCTTTCTTTCTTTCTTTCTTTCTTTCTTTCTTTCTTTCTTTCTTTCTTTC